CCCTCAATCGCCCTCAGTCCCGGGAACCCTACCGCCCACCCCCACCCGGGATCCTCAGTCCCCGCGGAAGGACGAGTGTTGGTGGAGGTTGGCCCGATGAGGACCGGGAAGACTTGGTGACTTGTGAGGAAAATGTGATTTAAGTACCTTAAAGGTGCCCTGGTGCTGGTCAGCGGGAAGGGAATGCGAGGACTCAGGACCCGCAGATCCTTTAGCCTTGTTTGCCTGGTTCAGTGGTTCCCCTCCCAGCAGGTGTTTGCTTTTTGTGTCTTGATCCCAGATGATTCTGATGGAAACCACTGACATAGCTAGAGAACTACGAGCTCTGATTTTCTAAGCCCGCTGCATCCCCTGCTCTGTGTGAACGGCGATTTCCTACGATTCTGTGATTCTATTTTACTCTTGGAGTTTGGGCGGACACTAGATGATGGACTGCCACTTTCACTCTTCATCTTTTCATTTTTAAAATAAAAAATATTATTTATTGATTTGAGAGAGGGATGGGGGAGAGAGAGAGAGAGAGAGAGACTTGTTCCACTTATTTATGCATTCATTGGTTGTCTTCCTGTATGGAATCCCACCACCTTGGCTGTAGGGACGATGCTCTACCCATTGAGCTACCCGGCCGGGGCTCACTCTTCATCTTTTCAGAGAACACATACTGGTGCTAAAACTGTCCAGAATAGCTTAGGGAGATTTGTGTTCGCAGGTTGTTTAAAGCTAGCCAGAGCTGAGTGAGCATGAGCCATTTGCAGAACTTACTGTTAGATTCCCTCCTGGGCACCAAGCATGTGGACAGCGCGGCCCTCATCCAACTCCAGGAGCGGAGCCTGTGTGTAGCATCACCAGGGTTTACTGTAAGAAAAACAAGTTTGGGGATAGAGTTTTAAAAAACACACAAGTTTGGGTGTAAGAGTTTTAAACAAACTTTCTATGAAGAGCCATAGTAAACATTTTAGGTTTCCAGGCCTTATGATTTGTGTCGCAACTACACACTCCGCTGCAGTTGTCATGGGAAGCAGCCATAGACAATATGTGAAAGAATGTGTGTGACTATATTCCCATAAAACTTTATGGACACTGAAATTTTATTTTCATGTAATTTTTACCCATCACAAAATAGTATTCTTTTGATTCCCCTCACCACCCCACCCCCACCCCTACACATAACTTAAAACCATAAAGAACCATTCTTAGCTTGCAGGAATACAAAAACAGGTAGTTGGCCAACTGTGGCCAGCCTGCCATAGTTTGCTGACTCCCAGTCTATTTAACCTCTGCAGGTGATGCCCAGTGACGTCCGGACCCTTGTGAATGGATTCGCCAAGAACCCGCTGCAAGCCCGAAGAGAAGGACTGTATTTCATGGACAAGGACTACAAATGTGTCCGGGCAGATGAGTATTCTCTTTATGCTAAGAATGTGAGTATTGAAGGTTTGAAAACAGCTGAGCAAAAACCTTAAGAAAAGAATTTGACTTCAAATTTCTGTGTCTCCTCTGATCCTGTCTGTACGGCAGACTTAGCCCATTATGGCAATGGTGGTGTTTGCAATGTTTGAGACAGCAGTCTAGTGCCCCGAGAGCTTATGCAAAAGAAAGTACTAACAGGGAGCCCGGTTTTGAGAGACGTTTGTTCCCAAATCTATCAACTAAACCTTGCCTGACTTGTCTCTCTCCACTACAGTCCATTCTTTGTGTTGTACAATCTCCTTAAAAACAAAACAAAAACTGACATAACCCTGTGCTTAAAACCTCTCTTGACTTTCTGTTGCCTATAAAGTTGAGCTTAATAAGTGGTATAAATTGTGTTTGAGATTAGATTTTAATGTAAATTGAAATTTCTAAACGTTTTTGGAGTTGCTTGAACTAAGAAGATGAATTCACATTCACTGGAAGCCGTATATTATGGATTAGACACGCTTCATCCACATTATGAGCTAGGTAGCCTCATTTTACAGATGAGGAAGCTGAGGCTAAGCAAGGTTAGATGACTCTTTCATGGTCATGCAGCAGAAAATGGACGTGCTGGGATTCAAGCCAGAGCTGTCCAGCTCCAAAGTGTCACCTTTCTCATTGGGATAGGGATATATTACAATCAGTTGGGGGACTTTTTCAAAATACCCATGCTGTTGTTACAACAGTCTTAAACTCTTTGAGTAACTTAGTGGAGCAGAGTAGAGAGTCCAAAAACAAATGTATGAATGATATATGGAAGTCAGGAAATGGTGAAAAATATGGCTGGAGTGTAACTGCTAGTCCTGTGATTAGAAACAAAAGTAGGGCATTCAATTTTATTCTCACACAGGAAAACACTGGTGTGATTGTCGTGAAGACCGGTCTGTATCTTCTGGTGGCGACTTACACTGAGGGCATGTATCCCAGTGTCTGTGTGGAAGCCACGGAGAAGCTGGGTAAGTGTGTGTCCCGGTGCCTGTCTTTGCTCCCTAAGGTAATCGAGTCTTCTGACTGCAAGTGACAGAGGCCAAGTCGGCTGGGACAGAAAGTAGGAATTGATTGGAAGGAGACGGAGGATACTTCTAGAACCACTGGAAGGATGAGCCCAGGAACAGGGAACAGATTCCAGGGATGGGAACGCTACTAGAACCTTCCTCTGGTCTCTCCTGAGAGGGTCAGGTTCGTTCTGTCCCTCCTTCCCTGGCTTGATCTGCCTTCTTTCCTGGATTGTATCATGGTCAAGCCTCACTTTCTTCATTTAAGACCCTGATTTGACCAGTCTTGGATCAGATGGTTTTCCCTTATATCATTCAGGAGGAGAGAGGCATGGGTTAAAAAAAAACAAGAGATATAGCTCCTGGGGGCCCATCCTATAAAGGGACCTTTTACCGAAAAGGAAATTACTGTGAGTCTGGCAGGCAGCTTGTTGGTATCTACTGTAATCTCCTTCCCTGTCTATACATTTTTGAATACAGATCTAATGTAGAACTGGGAAATTATATCTGTGAGAGTTGAGCATAATAAATTATATAAATTGTGTTTAGATTTTAATGTAAATTGAAATGTCTAGCAATTTTTGGAGTTGCTTGAGCATTCTTTTGAAACAGTAGAAGCCTCTACTTCTACTAGTAAGGAAAGCAGCATTCTCTTCATTCTTTCGACAAATACTCAGTGGTCTGCTGTGTGCATTGCACTGTCCTGATAAACTAGGAAAGCACAGCTGGTCACGATATAGTCTCTGCCTTCCGTGCCTCTGTACATGCTGCGCTATCTTCCTGAAATGCCTTCTTTTCTGTTCCTGCCCCTTCACATCCAGCTGGCAAATTCCTAAAAATCATTATTGAAGACCCATGTGAGATCTTAGGCATCTCTCCACTGTGCTATGTAGCTTATTACTGCCATTGTTTCTTTGTTTACCTAGACTGAGATCTTAGGCATCTCTCCACTGTGCTATGTAGCTTAAGCAGACCTTTATTATTACTGCCATTGTTTCTTTGTTTACCTAGACCGTGCGCCCCTAGAAGGCAAGAATTGTGTCGTAATCGTTTTCCTCTCTCCAGTACCTGAGATGGTGTCAAATGTTGAGTAGTTGATTAATACATGTTTGATGAACAAATAAATGAATGATCCCCACCTAACAGAATCAGGGAAGGCTCCAGAGCAGCGGTTGCCAAGCTTTCGGACCTCACGGACCACCGGTTGGCGACCACTGCTCCAGAGAGCTGAGTCTTAAAGAATTAATTGAGGAATTAGGTGACATCACAGAAACTGTATATCTCCCCCCCCTTTTTTTTTAGATTCTCACATTTTTAATACTCCTATTGTGTATGCATATCACACAAAAATGGCACTGAGAAATCATCACAAATAATATATGGAACAAATCTGCTAGACCTTTGAGGCTTTAGAAGGCCTATGACAATAATGTTGCATCACTAACAAAGCACATCACTGAAGTGAACATGCTTCAAGGATAGGCCATTAAAACTACTGGAAGAATCAAACTGTAATGGACTGACACAATTAAAACATTGACCTCAATTTAAAGAAGGTATATTTTGTAGGATGAAGATCTTTTAAAATTTTTTTATTAGAAATTATATATTCTTGCCTAGACATACACACACACACACACACACACACACACACACACACACCTCCAAAGAATGTGTACTAGTTAGAAGGAGGCAGCTGACATCATGCCACTAAGACCACTGCTCTGGGAAGGGATGGGCTGTCTTGGGAAGTGGTTGGATGCTTGTGAAGGATGGATAAAGCTGATTCCCACTCAAGAGCCAGTTACATGTCTCATTACTTCTATTTCCTTCACTTGTTTTTTAAATTATATTTTCTCTATACAAAATTATACATGATCTTTATAGAAAATTTGGGGAGTAAAGAATTATGACTATTTAAAATTTTTTTATTGTTGAAGATTCTAGAAATATAATTGATGTTTTTATAGCTCTATCTCCCCAGCTAGACAATGGAAGTCCTTGAGGAACTGGGTCCTATCAGTCATCCTTGTATCTCTAGTACCTAGCACAGTGCCTAGCATCTCACCAATGTTTATGGAATAAATAAATGAATGAATCATATTGTGATAATTTGCTGCTCACAGATAATAACCATGTTCTGCTTCTTTCAGGGGAATATCTAAGAAGAAAAGGAAATTGAGTCATCAGAAGACTGAAAGACAGCTTTTATTATTTTAGAAGAAAACTATAGATCCTAAAGAAAAATGCCTAATTTCGTTGGTGAAAAATATTAGGCAGAAGATACTAAAAAGGAAGAATGATTAATGGAGCCATGTTTCTTATTTCAAAAGATCATTTATAATTGGAATTATTTGATCAACTTGTGTTTTTTAAATGTTGGTCATTGGCATGGGTGTAAGAACATTGATAGTTTCACAGAGCATATCTGTTGGGAGCAATTATACTATTGTCTCTTTATTATTAACTAGAGACCCGATGCACAAAATTCATGCAAGAGTAGGCCTTCCTTCCCCTGGCTGCCAGCACCAGCTTTCCTCTGACACCTGGGACCCCGGCTTCCCTCACAGCCCCAACTTTGTCCAGAAGGTCGTCCGGAAGGACGTCTGGTCTAATTAGCATATTACTCTTTTATTATTATAGATGGTGGTAAAATAGACATAATATAAAATTTATCATCCTAACCACTTTAAGGATCCAGTTTGGTGGCATTAATTTAAGTACATTTACATTGTGCAAACGTCACCAACCATTCATCTCCAGAACTCTTTTCATCTATAAAACTGAAACTCTATACCCAGCTGAGTCCCTTCTCTTAATTGTTTTGGGTGTATGTCCAGAAGTGGAATAGCTAGGTTATATGGTTCCTCCCCATTCCCCTCTCCCTTCAGCCCCTGGCAATCATTTTTCTACATTCTGCCTCTGGATTTGACTACTCGAGGTACCTCATATAAATGGAACCATAAATATTTGTCCTTTTATTTCTGGTTATTCACATAGTATGTATTCATGGTTTTCCATGAATGTATTTATGGTTTATCCATGTTGTACTATGGTTTATCCATGTTTTCATAGTTTATTCGTGTTATATTCATGGTATGCCCGTGCTGTACCATGTGTCAAAATTTTCTTTTTAAGGCTGCATAATATTTCATTATACACATATGCCACATTTTGGTTATCCATTCATCTGTCAATGGACACTTGGATTGTTTCCACCAAAAGACTAGTGTGAATAGGCTACTATGAATATGGGTATACAATATGGGTATACAAATATCTGTTTGAGTCCCTTCTCTCTTTTTTAAAAATATGTTTTATTGATTTTTTTTACAGAGAGGAAGGGAGAGGGATAGAGAGTTAGAAACATCGATGAGAGAGAAACATCGATCAGCTGCCTCTTGCACACTCACTACTGGGGATGTGCCCACAACCAAGGTACATGCCCTTGACCGGAATCAAACCTGGGACCCTTCAGTCCACAGGCCAACGCTCTATCCACTGAGCCAAACCAGTCAGGGCTGAGTCCCTTCTCTTAATTGTTTTGGGTGTATGTCCAGAAGTGGAATAGCTAGGTTATATGGTTCCTTCCTTCCTCCCTCCCTCCCTCCCTCTCTCTCCCTTTCTTCCTCCCTTTCTTTCTCCCTTCCTTCCTTTCTCTCTCTCTCTCTCTCTCTCTCTCTCTCTCTCTCTCTCTTTCTTTCTTTCTTTCCTTCCTTCCTTCCTTCTTTCCCTGCCATACTGTTTTCCATAGCAGCTGTGCCATTTTGCATCCCACCAGCAGTGCAGAGAGATTCCAGTTTCTCCACATTCTTGCTAACACTTATTTTCTGGTTTTTGATAACCGCCATCTGAATGGATATGATGAAGTGGTATCTCATTATGGTTTTGATTTGCATTTCTCTAATGATTAGTGATGTTGAGCATCCTTTCATGTGCTTATTGGCCATTTGAGTATCTTCTTTATTTCTCTAATGATTAGTGATGTTGAGCATCTTTTCATGTGCTTATTGGCCATTTGAGTATTTTCTTTAGAGAAATGTCCATTCAAGTCCTTTGCCCATTTTTAAATTGGAGTGTTTAGGGGTTTTGTTGTTGTTCAGTTGTAGGAGTTCTTTACATATTCTGGATATTAACCCCTTAAAAGATATATTATTTGAAAATATTCTCCCATTCTATAGGTTGCCTTTTTACTGTTTTGACTGTGTCCTTTAATGTGCAAAGTTTTATTTTGATATAGTCCAATTTATCAATTTTTCTTTTCTTGCCTGTGCTTTTGGTGTCATATGCAAGAAATCATTGCCAAATTTATTCTTACGAAGCTTTTCCTGTTTTCTTCCAAGAGTTTTATAATTTTAGTTCATCTTTTCTTGCCTGTGCTTTTGGTGTCATATGCAAGAAGTCATTGCCAAATTTATTCTTATGAAGCTTTTCCTGTTTTCTTCGACGAGTTTTATAATTTTAGTTCTTACATTTAGGTCTTTGACTCATTTTGAGTTAATTTTTGAACATTGTGTAAGGTAAGGTTTCAACTTCATTTTTTTTCATGTCAAAGTTTTACAGAAAGTTCCCTTAAAGTTATTAAAAAGTGCTCCCTCTATCCATTCTGCCCAACCTCCCATACCTCATCATTTTATCCCATTTACATTTAGGTCTTTGACCCATTTTGAGTTAATTTTTGAGCATTGTGTAAGGTAAGGCTTCACCTTCATTTTTTTTTTTCATGTCAAAGTTTTACAGAAAGTTCCTTTAAAGTTATTAAAAAGTGCTCTCTCTATCCATTCTGCCCAACCTCCCACACCTCATCATTTTATCCCATCACCTACCACAATGTTTATCACACAGTGACCATTCAATTATCTGTGAATAAAATAGATGAACATTTAAAGAAGGGAGGAAGGAAGAAGGGAGGAAAGAAGGAAGGAAGAGTAAGGAACGGAATGGAAATAATGTAAGTGTTCTAGCCCATGCTAATTGTCTAGGTCCCTGAACAGGTCTGGCCTGAGAGCCCCTTACCCAGGTAGCACCAGACCTTCATAGGCCCAACTCCATTCTCAGTAGCCTGAACATTACAGAACCTCTTCAGATTTGAGAATCATTCCTGGGATCCTAAAGTAAATCATTCTTGGGTCACCAAAAAGAGCTGAGTGGGACAGGGGCTGTTTTTCTGCCTCCCTGTCCTCCATACAAAGGAAGGGGAATTAGAGCAGAGATGCAGCTGCCTCCACGTCTCCCATGCATTTTCCCTTATTAAAATGTTGGCACCCCCCGCCCCCACCACCTCTTTCAATGGCCCAGACTCTGCAATATTCCATTTAAATGTGTGACCATTCATTTGGTTAAGCCTCAGTTGAATTGTGCCTTATGTGATAAACACAGGGGACATTGAGATGACCAGGATACTCTAGGAATCCAGTCTCATGCATAAGAAAGGCACATGTCATCTTTCTTAAGGTGACACTGAGCTCCCTAAAGGAGTCATCTCAGGCTCCTTCACCTGACCATTGGCTGGCCTCAGTGGGGTTCGGGAGGAATAAGAGTTGACTGATTGGCCCCTTCTGCTGCATTAGGGCTCCCAGAGAGAAGCTCAGCATTACTTTAAGAAGCCCTAGCAAGTTTAGCTCAGTGGATAGAGCATCAGTCTGCGGACGGAAGGGTCACCAATTCAGGTTCAGTTCCTGTCAAGGGCATGTACCTTGGTTGCAGGCTCAATCCCCGGCCCTGGTTGGGGTGTGTACAGGAGGCAACCAATCAATGTGTCTCTCTCACAATGATGTTTCTCTCTCTGTGTCTCTTCTCCTTGCTTCAACTCTCTGAAAATCAGTGAAAAAATATCCTCAGGTGAGGATTAACCAAAAAAATATTAAAAAAAAATAGAAGAAGCCAGGGAGACTTGTGGGCACATGGAACTGTGACCACTTGGTGGTGGGGAGAGAGTCAGATGCAACATTTTTCTCTTTTAATGATAAAGAGAAAAGATAAGAATGGAAAGTAGTGCCTGGCCTGGATTGCCTGCAGGAGAGAGATGGGTGGAGACAGGAGACAGAAGGGAATGGGGGGTCTGGGGAAAGAGAAACAAGGAAGGGGACTCTTTGTGGGAGAATTAGATTGAACGTAATGTCGGGGGAATGCTCACCATATTCTATTATAGATTCTAGAGAACTTCTAGGAAAAGACACTGAAATTGGTTTAGCTGTGTTAAAAGATTACTAATTACAGTCATTTCTGGGAATGGCTGCTTAGCATTTCTAGCTAATCACTGTGCAGACTGCAAGTATTTGCCAGGTCGTGAATATCTGTCAGAGCATCCTTTGTTGTAATTGTTATTTGATTGCAACACCTGCTCGTGAAGATTGCCTCTATCATGATGCAGCCAAGCTGTCTCCTCGGGACTAAAACAAAAACAGCCCTGAGGAATGTCTTCTAAGAATAAAGGGGGAGGGGGAATAAATGCCTCTTGAAATACTACATGATTCCTCTGTTATTTTTGGTGAAGTTTAGTAGAGGAGGATTAACAAAGCATGAAGAATTGTGGGGTTTTTTTGCAGCTTTCTACCCTTATATCCTACACACACCCACACCACTCTTTGAACATGGGGGCCATGACAGTTTCAGAAACTGTGGCATCCAATCTGCAAACCTCTCCATTCTGGTGCTTTGCAGATGAACAGAAGTTGTTTTTCCCCACTTTACAAAAACAGAATATAAAGGACTAAGTGCCCATTACTAATGGTGCTGGGTCACTCAGGAAATCTGTGTCCTACCAAGCATTGTGGGGTTTGGATTTGAACAAAAGAAGGTTCAGTTAAATTCAAGCAAAAACATCTTGACTTTTAGCTTAGAAATGGGTGTCATTCCCTGCATTCAATCTAGTTTTGCAAAGTAACTTTCCAAAACACACTTTGTGGGTGTGGGTCCATGTGTGACCCCTTGAGAAATGTGGAAAGAAGCAGTCAACATGGCCCCCACTCTCAGCCCCAACACCTGCCACCACACCTCTGCATGGAGGTGATCACCAGGGCAGCTGACCAGGGCTTCTCTGCGAAAGTCAGAATGCTGACAGGGAACTTCATACACAGAGAAGGAAAACAGATCGGAATCTCTTAGTTCCTATATGAATTTATCAACTTCTACAGTCTCCATTTGGCATTGACACTGGGCGATCAACCGCTATGCAGGCCT